ACAATGTGCTGGCCACAGCTCACCCTCCAGACCTGGCAGGCGCTGTGGCCGCCCTACCCTCGCCATAATTTAAAGATGAGCGTACAGACAAGGGAACCAGGCCCGTCTGCTGCCCTGACCTGGCTGGCTTTGGCGTTCACGTCCCCGCAGGCGAAGAGCTCCCCCACAACTCTCATGTCTTCCTCGGCCTCCACGGCGGCCAGCGCGGCCAGCATGATGGGGGTGTAGCCCGCCTTGTTCTGGCGGTTCACGTTACACACGTCTGCAAAGCAACACGGCGAGCCCAAGTGAGGCAGGCTGCCACAGGGGCTGCCACGCTGGCTGCATACGCGCAGCTGCGGGGAGGCACAGGGCCCGCAGTTCTGTTGGACATGGGCCAAGACGCCACATCACCTGGCGACAGGAAGGGCCACTGCCCAGTGGCAGCACGTCAAGGGTGAGAGGTGTTCTGGTCTCTAAGAGCGACAGCAAAAACCCCATGATTTTCTCCCCCTGCTCCATCAAGCGTGAAGCAGGAGCCTAGAAGGCTCTGGAAGCATAGCGTGAGGGTAGCACCCTGGGGAATATAAGGAAAGCCAATCAGTTGGGTGGAAACCACCAGCAGCCCACGGATCAAAGACTTGGCAGGGTCTGCCCATGAGGAGGGCAGCCCCCGAAGCCCATCGGGCGGTTCCCTGTCCTGTAGGGTCCGTGGGAGTCGGATTAAGACTCTAGGGCAGTGAGTTTGGATGGAGAAAGATGAGGCTTGGTATGCATGTACAGGGCTACAGTCTGGGAAACCCACAGGGCAGTTCTACCCTGTCCTACGGGCGCTGTGACTCAGAAAGGACTCTAAGGCCACAGGTACGTACGCATGTTTTCTTAACAGAATTAAAAGCACTGCTTCCAGGAGCGGAGCTCAGAAACACCCACACCTACCCACCAACCACGGCCACTGCCCTGGAGGCCTGGCTCACCTCGGCAACCTGGGAGGACAGCCTCTTCTTTCTCATGTGGAGCGGGCAGTGGCGTGAACCACTAACTTCGAGGTTAGCAGCCCAGGGCTAACCCACAGGGCCAGCAGAGGCCAGAAGTGTGGATTTTGAGGAGATCTCCGTGTTCTGATAAGTATCGTCTTAACCCCCAACAGAGAGGCTCTGGGACCTCAGGATCTCGGGGCGGGGCTTAGGCCTCACCTGGGGCCTCGGGGCCCCAGGGGCGGGCTCACCTGCGTCCAGCAGCAGCTTGACGATCTGGAAGTTGGAGTGGGAGACGCTGTAGTGCAGGGCCGTGTTGCCGTTGCCGTCGGCCATGTTGATGACGTGGCGCAGCACGTCGGGGGAGACGGCCTGGAAGGCGGCGATGTAGTCGCCCACCATGGCGGGGACAGCCGACTTCTGGCTGGACACGCGGAACCACTCGTGCTGGAGGGTGTTCAGGCAGAAGCGCTGCAACAATGCCACGGCCTACCGTCAGCCGGCGCGCCTGCAGCGGGACCAGCCGCCAGGGCCCTGGACATGCGGGTGGCCTCCCCCACGGCACAGCGCAGGGTCCTCCGCACTGCCGTCTTTACAGGCAAGGGCTGCCCTCTCTTCCGCAGGTCTCTGGTCTGTGGTCAGCAACTGTGTCCTTAACCAGCGTGCCACTAGGCAGGCCTCCTTCCTGCCCATGCAAATACAAACCCAGACCCACTGTCGAGGACTCAGACGCACGCAGAACTGCAGCCACGGGGTTTCTAGGCTGCCCTGCCTTTCTTCACAGCCACTCCTGGGTCCAAAGCGCGACCTTCCATTCACACAGGGGTGTTTAACCACTGTGCCACCAGGCCCCTAACGGAACAGGAGCAGCAGCGGCCACCATGCCCACCCAGGGATGCACTTACAGGGCAGTGGACATCCCTGTATCCAACCCGCTGTCCTCACGCTTCGCTCGGAGCAGGGGCATGCTCCCAGCACACGGAGGGCAGAGGTGTGGGTGGACGGATGGCCAGGCCTCAGAAAGAGGCCACGGTCACACATTGTGCGGCCTCGCCCTCTCTGCTGCTGACCTCTGAACCTCACGGCAGATGTGGTGGCCTGCACCCCCCGGGAATGTGACCCACAGCACCTTCAGCCCTGGGGTACCCTGCCCTATTTGGGTTCCTCTAAAAAGATACTAACTTACAAAGAAAGGCAGGGTGCCAACGATCTGGACACAGCAGCGGACATGCAGAGAGGAGAGGAGCCCTCCCCACGGAGCTGTGAAGGCAGTTAAGCACCGGCCTGCTTTCCCTGAGGTTGGCACTTTGAACCCAGCAGCCCCTGGGAGTGAGAAGGAGGTGGCTGCTGTCTCTGTACAGCCTGACGGCCTAGGAAACCCTGCAGGCAGCTTTCCTCTAGCAGCAGGCCCCCTGGCACTCTAACCCCCCACCCGCAGGGCTGTTGGTCCTTGGGTGCCTGTGCCGCCAGGGCCGGGGCCCCGGGCTCCAACTCACCATGTCTTTGCTGGCCAACGCTCTGGGGTCTTTGAGGTTCGTTTTCAGTAAGTGGCACGCAGACAGGATCTTCTCACTTAATTCGTACCTAGCGGGGTGGGGCGGAAAAGAGGAGTGATGGTGGCCCTGCTCCGGGGGAAGCCTTTCACACCGGGCTCTACAGTCCAGGGGACAAGTAAGCGGGGCAGGGACCCAGCCGGCTCCGCACCTTGCCAGGGCTGCTTTTGGGGGTCACTATTATTGGCCTTTGTGACGCCTGGAAACAGCAAGTGGGGGTCCTTGTGTTCTACTAGAGCAGCGGTTCTCAACCTGTGGGTCCCAACCCCTTTGGGGGGTCATACGACCCTTTCACAGGGTTCACCTGATTCCTAACAGCAGCAAAATGACAGTGATGAAGTAATAATGAAAATAATTTTCACCACAGCATGAGGAGCTGTATATTCAAGGGCCGCGGCATTAGGAAGGTTGAAAACCACTGCGCTAGAGGAAGACTCACTGCCCCTGTGGCTTCCAAGACTGACTCTTTACGGGAACCAGAAAGCCTCCTCTTTCTCCCATGGAGTGGCTGGTGGTTTCGAACTGCTGACCTTGCAGTGAGCAGCCCAAATGCCACCAGGGCTCCTCTTGTGTTTTAAGTCCTTCACAATATCTTTTGACTCTAAAGCGCTTGACATGGTCCCAGTGGCCCTCTACCCAGCACACCCCTCGCCTGGAGGGACACCCATGACAGAAAGGTGGGAAAAAATCAGATCGGCTGGCGGTGGGCTGCTAAACTCTCTCAGTAAGATGGTTGAGAAAAACAAAAACCCTCAAATGACAAGATTTGGAGCCATCTGATGACACTGGCAGCTACCAACCAGGGCTAATGACCTCTGTCGATGTGGGCCGGCGCCCACTGGCCAGGTGGCACACAAAAAAACAACCCCAACACAAAAATGACTGCCATCAAGTTGATGCTGGCTCTCAGGGACTACAGGGAAAGGTTGAACTGCCCTGTGGGTTTCCAGAGAGACTACATCATGGGAGCAGGCAGCCTCTATTTCTCCCTTAGATCAAATGGTGGGTTCAAACCATTAACCTTGTGGTTAGTAGGCCAGTGCCTAACCTGCTATGCTGCCAACCAGAGGCAGTGCTCCACCTACTTCCTGGGTGGGAAGGGTTGGGGAGGAGAAGGCAGGCCAGTGCCACACACCTCTCTCTGATTTCCACCTTCTCGAATTCACTCTCTTGAACCTGCATCTCGGCTGCCACCCGGGCAGACCTGAGCCCTTCGGCCACTGCCCGAGGGTCTTCATCGTCCTCCTCTTCCTCAGGAGGGTACGCAGGGCCATCAGCTTCGCCGGACTCTGAGGAAGAGCTCTCTTCTGAGCTGGATTCATCGCTGGACGTGGTCTCGTACCTGGGTGACAACCGGGGGCTTAGGAGACTCAAGAGGTGCCCGAGGAGAACCGGCGGCCCACGCATTTCTACGTGGGGAGAGGAGCCGAGACCCAGCTCAGGGACGCCACCTGCGGTCACAACAGACGGGCCCTCAGGAGGTCCAGGCAAGGTCTGCTTAAAGACCATGCGTGTTTGAACAGGAGCCCATCCAGAGGGCTCTCAGAAAGGGCCTGGCAACCCGGCCCCTGAACACCCTGTGGGCTCCGCTGCGGCACACCAGGAGGTCTGAGATGGGCTGGGACTTAAGGGCTAGCAAACTGATGCCCAACCCTGCCAGCTTAGCATGAATCGCGAAGCCCAAAGGAGCCAGGTCTGCAGGGGATCAGCTTTGTTCCCCCTGCCCTCTTCAGCCTTCCTGTCTTGCCTCCTCAATCGCCCACCCCAGAACCTCCAGGCTACCTCATCTCCAGTGACCTTTCAGAGCTGAGAAGCAGGCACCTTTGGCCGTCAGCCTTGGGGAGCTTTCCCACCTGGCCAGCTCAGAGACTGGTCACTCGAGTCCTTGCTCTGACTCAGTTGTAAGGCGAGCCCAACTGTCCACCTGGAAACCAATCAACCAAACCCAGCACCATCGAGCCCTTTCAGACGCATAGCGACCCAACAGGACAGGGTAGCTGAGTGGCAGGTGGGTTCCATTCGCTGACCCCGCAGTCAGCTGCCCAATGGGTAACTCACTATGCCACCAGGGCTCTTTGGATTAACCCGCAGAGGAGGAACAAACCACATGTCAACAGCACTGGGTTTGGGATGGGTAGCATGGTGCCTCTTCCGAGAGGCGGCCCTGGAACTTGGCTGGCAAGCTCTGTGAACAGCCCACCATACGGGAAGTGGGGGCGAGGCACTGTGCCTCATTCCGGTTTAATTCTGAGGGTTAAATGTCAGCCTCCAACTCAGCCCAGGACACCCACTGCCGGCCAGGTGTGGCGTGGGGTGTGTGTGAGAGGAGACAGGCCCTGAGGAGGGGCCCTTTCCATAAAAGCCAGCCCAGGCAGCCGAGGAGGCCCGCAGCACCCCACCCTGCTTACCCTCCATTGATGCCGACGAACTGGAGGTTCTTCTTGGCACCGGCGCCGGAGCCGGCTCTGCTCCCGCCCCGCGTCTTCATGATGGACTTGAGGGTGGCCTCGCCGGCGGCGGCATGCGCTGTGGGAAAGCCCCCCGAGATGCAGGCGTCTGCGCCCAGGAGCCCGAGCAGGCAGCCCCCCGAGACGCAGACCTCGCGTCTGCGCCCAGGAGCCCGAGCAGGCCCACAGCCAAGTGCTTGGTGTCAGTTTGAATCCACCCAGTGGCTTTCCGGAGCCAAGGTCTGACCACTTCCCTCAGTACCACGGGCGGCCTTGAAACGCTGACAAGGCGGTTCCACTGGCAGCGGGGTCTCCATGGCACCCAACAACAAACCCACACAAGTTACATGAACAGGCGTCCCTCACCTACACTGCGTCTCCCACCCACAGCTTTCGGCAGCTCTGAACGGACGAGCCGGCCCCAGATCCACAGAAAGACGGCGTGGTACCCAGAAGATAATTCCTGAAGCCCGGAACACCTACCAGTCCCCCGGACATCTTTGAGCAGGGCAGTGCAGTAAGCTCAACATCCCCAACACTCTCTGAGCGAGGAGGGGCATTCCCAGGCTGTCAGACGGCCTCACCTTGCCCTGGAGCAGTGGCCGGTGGGTCCCAACTGCTGCCCTTGTGCTGAGGGCCCCGGGCTCAGCCCGCTGCATCACGAGGGCCCCTTGAATCTCACTGGACCCTCGGAAACCACTGGGGTACAAAGGCTGAGATGACTGGTGTACTTCTTCAGTTAAGAGAACCTGGGACTCAGGGATGGACGACTGACTGGGACTGGAGCCCTGGTGGTGCAGTGGTAATGCTCCAGGCTGCTAACCACAGGGTCAGCAGTTCAAAATCACCGGCAGCTCTTCAGGAGAGAGATGACGCTTTGT